TGGGGGGTGGTAATGAGTGAAATAAAATCCGTTATAATGAATAGAAAAGATGATGATATACAAAATTACTATAATTATTCAAAGTGGACATAATACAAGAATTTAATGAAATCATGATTCATCGTTTGGATATTTATGGACTAACTTTTATTTATATGTAAATATTTAAATGTATCAAGGGTAATTGTTACGGTCTCGTTACGAAATTATTCCTCCAGAGTTCGTAAATGTTAGATCATCATGTAACTGTCAGGAATAATTGATCTCACAATTACGAATCTCAACATAATGATTCCGTAACAGGACTGTAACATCTTCATGTATTAAGTAAAGCTCAAATTCCTGATACTCGAATATTGAGGTCAGTCTCTCATCATACTGAGTCGAAATCGACTCATTAATTTAATAAATTTATAATTAAAGAAGTTGAATTATGATAAAAATTCAAAAAATTATGTCGAAATCCTTGTTTTCAAACATAGGATTTCAAACATAAAAGTCTTAAACGAGCTCAACTCGTTAATCAAATGAGTTAAAATATCATAAAGCCTATTAACGAGCCATTTTGTTTAGGATTCTATTTGACTTATTTATATGTTTTGTTTATTTATTAACTTTTTATATGTTGCGAAATTATTACATAAGAAAAAATAATAATAATAATAATAAGGTAGGGACCGTGGCATTAAATGCAAAATAAGAAAACTAAAGGACAGCTGTGAATTAATGCCACAGAAAAATTACAAAGACCTTCGGCTTTCCTTTCATAGCTCTAATTAATGCTTTGTAATGACTGCCTTTATTAAGTTTATTTTTTTCTTTAAACAAAAATATTTATATGTGTGTGTTTTCTCATTTTTATTCACTCATTAATTATCACCAGCCTTTGGTTGACACCAATTTACGCCCTGTTTGGTTGACCTCTTTTCCGGTTATATGAATCCAGTTTCAATTTCGAAGGCAAAATTCAAATTACAATTTTACACGTATTTTAAAATATTATACCCAGTTTAAAATACAATACCCATAATTATACAATTGGCAAAATTGCGTTTTGTGCCTTGTAACTATGCGTGTGTGGTAAATGTGGACAGTTTCTTTTTAGTTTGGCAAAAGTATCCCAAAACCTGTTAAAACCCGGAATTTGTGCCCAATTTACCTACAAGTTGTCGGATTTGACCAGTTTTTCGTGTGGCAAAACAAGACATTAACTTGTTACAAAACCAAATTTTTGCCCAAATTGAGCACGAATTTCGGGCTTTAACAAGTTTCACGATACTTTTGTCAAACCAAAAAGAAGTCGTCCACATTTACCACATGTCTCTAGTTACGGGGCATAAAATGCAATTACGCCTTATACAATTTATACTCGAATACTCGATATACCATTGTTTGGTTTTAAGTCTCAGTCGTTACTACTGTCTATTTTATTAATTTTAATTTTAATAGAATATATGGAAACAACTTTAACTAGTACTAAAATTAACTAAAATAAAATAAGAATATGAACATATTAAAATTAAGTATGTAACTTTATATTTATGCTAATGAATAATAAAGATATAGAAATATTACAAAAATCTGATATTTTCGGGTTATATTCTAGCGATGTGAAATGGGTATAATTCAATATTTTGGTAATGTTGTGTTTTACTGGTTATCGTATAATATTTAGTCACGATATTACTAAATAGTATAATCAAATAATCAATATGGGGGAAATTAATAATAGATAAAAAAAATTATATATTAATTATCCTTTCAATATGATTACATCAATATATACAGGCATATAATAACATTGGCAATGTAAATAATATAGTATAAGGTTAATTCAATAAGATATGGCATTAATTGTAAAGTACAATGAGTATGCCTTAAACAATTGGAGACGAGCTAATTAATTGCATCTTTAATATTATTATATTTTTGTATCCGTATTTAATAGAAACTAAATGTTGGCAATAAATCAAATTCAATATGCCCTACCATATAACAAATTTTTCTTCTTTTTTTTTGGTGTTTGCTTAATTAGCTAGTTAATAACATTAATTAAGTAAGTAACTATTTTGACATAGTAAACTGTAAATAAGATTAATACTACTAATTATTGAGGTACTATTTTTACTGCGACCATTTCAGTCGTTTGATAATTGGGGACTTATAATTAGGCGATATGTCATATTATGTAAATAAAATAATATTTATATTATTCAATATCTTAATTTTTTTTATTATATTTATAAAAGAAATATATGATGATCAGACCGATTTAAGATGATAATAATGCAAAAACTCAGAATTACCTTATCCAGAAATTCACATGATAAAAGCTTTTATGATCACAATTCGAACAAATATAACTCTTGCATAACCGAAATTACTACATAAAATTATGGCTAATTTGTTTAATTGATTTTGGCCATTTCTCCCATCCGGTGTTGCTATGGAGCCATTGGATGACTCGACTTATGAAGTCATCCATAGTTATTCACAAATATTATAATATTAACATGTGTCATGTAATAAATACATATAGCACACGTGTCAATATATAAATTTATGGATGGTCAATATATAAATTTATGGATGACTCATAAGAGAACCATCGACTCCATAACATTTTTGTGCTCCCATATATTTAATCAAATATATATATATATTTTTTTTTACTAACTATTTGACATGTAGTATTTTATCCTGTATTTTATTATTTACCGAACACAAGGGCTATGTTTTGTAAAACTAACTGAAACCTAGCTTATAGATTATCAATTATTTTCGAGCTTATAACTTATAACTTATGATTTATAGCTGAAAACTAACTTATATGATAAAAATATTTGATTAGATGAAATAAAAGTTTAAATAGGTTTATCTGAAAAGCTACCGAAAGAAACTTATGAAATAAGCTCGAGCTTTAGAAAAAAAAAAAACGCATCATACCAAAAGAAGCTTATTTAAGTACATAAAACTTATAAGTTAACCAAATAAACTATAAGCTAGTTTATTAGTCTACAAAATCAAAGCCTACATTTTTTTTTCACAAAAATAGATTCTATTGGCAAATCTAATATTGCCATTACAAATTAATAGCACTTATCATATTAACTACAATCTTTCCATTGGAAAATCTATGATTGCCATT